AAATATACGCGAATTTCATATTTTTTCATCGAGTTTTATTTGTTTCAACGTATTCGAGCACTGCCTGTGTTGAAAATTGGAACGAATTTTCCGGGCAACTTAATGTTTTTACTGCAATTTCTTTCTTCGTTCAATCACTTTTCTTCTTCGTTAAATATCATAGGATAACTACAACTGAGTTTTCCCAATATCTAATGTAATTGTTACCCTTCGAAATTACTACTAATATTAATTGAAACTAATTTCAAGTAATTGCTATTAATTTGAAAATTTCTCACTGTGCAAATTAATTATCATAATGCCCCCCTATTGTATAATTCAGATTTTCCAGTATCTAGTGCAATTATCATCGTTTAAAATTACTACTAATTAATTTCAGTTAATTTCAAGTAATTATTGTTAATTTGAAAATTTCACACTTCTTGGAATTATCAAACGAAGAAAGGAAGAATGGTGGAAATTCTAACCAGGTAGAATCAATGTTAGAACGCAGACTTCGTATTGATCGTATGGTATTCCTCCGTTATTTACCTCATCGAGTCAAAAATTCATCGCCTCGACAGCCTCTTATCTCAATCTTGCCTATAATTCATTTCGTCGAAAGTGTTTTGATGGTTGAAACAGGTGAAAGAGATGGATCGATCGTTTCTCGAGCCCTTTTTGGATCGAGATGGACGACGGATTTTCACGGTGTAAAAACCGGTTGAATATCGAACGGGGGAAGATTGGAAAAAGTATGGACGACGGGTGGCGGAACTGGACTCAGTTCTCGTGACAAAAGTACAACGTCGGCAGGGTGAAGAGAGAAGGGTGGAAGGGTAGCCAGGTACATGTAGCAGCGTAGAATAATGTGGCGAGGCATTTCCGCATAGGAAGCCGTGCATTAGGCTATCAGATCGAGCACGCTCTACAACGACTGCCGTCGAAGCAGGAGGAAAAAGTGTCCGGGGTAAACCCTTACGTGATTAGTCGTCAAAGGAGAGGACTGTGGGGTGAAAGTGTGCCTAATGAGCCGCGAGATTGGCACCTTCGTGTCATCCTTTAATCGCCATTTTACGGGAAACTTGTACGAAACTAATATGCAAGGATTATCAAGAGGAAAGTTGTCAATTTCTCCCTTTCACGATCGGTTAGGGTGGCTGCCGGGGTAGACGCAGGTAATTATTTATGGACACGGCCAGCGCTAGAACCATTGAGATTATAACTGGCACCGTGTTCGAAGGGTGGATCATTTCTTTTCCCCCGCGCGCGGTTAGTACTCTCCTACCGGGTCGGCAACAGTTTATCTGTCGCGGACGGTTCACCACGAACGTGTCAGTTATATCACTCGTTTCACGTGAAATTACGCGTCGTCGTCGAAATTTCATCCGCGTATCTTCGCTCTCTTCGGAAGACTTAATCTCCAAGACATTTGACAAACGCAACGGAGGGAAGGGGAAAGAAAGTAGCCTCGATACCCTTTGAATTCTTGAGCAAGCAACGAGCTGCAAATTTAAGGAACACGGACACGAGACGAGAAACGAAGCGAACGAAGAAGAAGGGTGGACAGAGAAAGAGAGAGAGAGAGAGAGATGCAGCTTTCGTTTTCGTCGTCGATCGTTGTGTTGAAAGAGATTCCGAGAGAACCCTCGTCGTGTTTCGCTTGTTCCGTCTGGTTCGTCATCGGGAGCAGCAGTTATACGAGACGGCGGTGAAGGAAAAGGGAAGAATGGGGGTGTGGGTGGTAGGTCGAAGAAGAGAGACCGAAAAACCCCTCCGGCCCTGACACGACAAAATGTACCGAAATATATTCAGCCGGTAATTAGCTTTGTGCTTAACGACGGAAGCCGGCCTCCGATGCAATTTTTTACTGGACGTTTGAAACTTTTGCAAACACACTCTGTGCCTGGTTTCTCTCTTATCAACCACTCTAACCGATTCTCTTTCTCGCTGCCTTCGATGGAAATGTTTCGAGAGAACGAAACAGGGCCATGGGGTAGGTGAATGGGGGTGGGTCGGGGTTGCCGGGACGGGGAGGGGATGAGATCGAGGGGCGTGGAGCAGCGGAGCAACGGCACGAGGAACAACTTCCTCGATGCAACTCTGATCCGTCGTGCCCTTTGCTTGTTTTAAACAGTCGACAAATGCAGCCGCAATTTTTTTTTTTCCTACGCTTCACGCTTATACATATATATATACACACACACACGTTGTGTGTGTGTAGCGTGTAAGCTGTGCCTAATTCCGGAGCGTTGGTATTCCCGATCCGTGGACTACCTGACAAATCGAAACGATGCCGAAACTAACATCGCCTGATGAACACGCACGATTCAATCGCGCGCGCGCACACACGTTATTTCGGGTGAAATAAAATTTCGAGCAATTTTTTTCGGTTTTTTTCCCCCCCTTTTTTTCGCTCATTTTCACCGGCAGAATTTTAAGTGTACCCTTTCCTCATTTTCCACGGGGCCAGCCATTTTTTAATGGACCTTTTGCTGCGTTAATTAAATTTCGCGGCCGGTCGTCTCTCCCCTGTTCGCTCGAGTGCCTCGAATATTTCGTACGAGATTGACGAAACGATATGCGATGATGGACACATTGGAAGTCGATGATGAAATTGAACACGGGTGTATTTTAGGAAGTCTAGCGCGCGTGAAAATTTGCATTGCTAATTCTCGAACGGAATTTAACGATGCACGATTAACCGTGCACGAGTGGGAATGTTATTATAATTCTTCACGTGTTCGTGATTTGAATCTATAATTTCGCGCGGGGCAATCAGAACCCGAGGAAACGTTGTGTGAAACGCATGTGTATCTGAAGGACAGCTCTGCGAATCATTTCTCTATCGAGTCGTTGAACGTTTTAACTAGTTGAGGTTTATCTTCGAAGGTGCGTTTAACCCTTTGAGATCTTACGTCGAGTCTTGACTCGATGTCGCAGCTCGTTTTAGCCAGTCGAGGCCAGATAGAAATTTTTATTTATTTTCTTCTCGTTTTAATAAACGATAGTAAATCATTTTTCATACGTTAATATTCTGCCGTCTTTACTTTAATTATACTAATTAACGACTGCTGTTTAACCCCTTGCCTAGTGATTTTTCAATGGCTGTGGCATCACACATATTTCTTATTTAACAATTCCCAGACTTGTAAACTAAAGGTGAAGTTGGAATTGAAATGAAAATTTATTAGAAACAGGAATTACTTTTATCATATCTCAACTGTAATCAGCAGCACGAGTGTGACTCGTTGTTACAAGACAAAGGGTTGAAGAATTCATATTTAATTCCCTCCCTTTCTCCCAATCGAAGAAAAGATTAAACCTCCAGTTAAGCAAACGCCGTGCAATTATCTATTAAAAATACTTTACGCTAAATAAACCGCAAAGTGTGCTGCAACCCTTCCCAATAACACCCCGTGAAAGCGTTGAATGTCGAAGGTCGGCGCGAACATGTGGTTTCCAAGAGGACGACGGGTGTCTCTCGCGATAAGAAAGTGACTGTCGGAGAATTGACTGCTGTTTAAAGAATTCTAATTAAGGAACCATCAAACCTCCAATTAAGCAAACACGGTACAATCAGCTCGTCTATCTAGAACGCTCCACGCTAAATAAACCACAAAATGTGCAACCCTTCCCGACCGTAGAGAGCCGCGTGAACGCGTTGAATGTCGGAGGTCGGCGTGAACTTATGGTTTCCAAGAGGATGGGCGTCTCTCGCGATAAGAAGGTGGCAATAATGTAGCGGCATGAGCACACGCGCGGCCTCCTTGACCGCCTTATATCTTGGATCTGTACTGTACTCAGCCTAATTATAATCAGGCTAATGCCTGCTGTGGCCGGTACGTGTCGGTAGGTACCCGCGCTGACTCCTACGCTCTCCATACCTGGCCGCAATGTAGCCGCTGTTACTTATCCCCAACCGAAGAGAGGGTAATTAAGATTCGGACACACCCATCGTGACTCTCGTCTCTTGGGCTCTGGCCGGTTCTACGCAGGGAGTGGTCGATCCCTTGAAAAGCTTGTTCTCGTTTGCATACACGGAACCCACGTATCAGAAACGTCTTCCACGGATCGTGTTTGCTTTTTTTTCGCCGCGACATACGGAAATTTCAAACGTCGACCAGGATGTCGATCGGGGGAAACTCTCGATCGAGAGAGGTTTTACGCTCAATTCCGAGAGATTTACGAGTCCGAGGACTATACCTCATATCGGCGCTCGGACTTTACAAGGGCGTTTCTTGTTCGACCAGCGACAGGAATGTTATGCAAATTTCGTTGGATGCTTCTTTTTGAAGAAGACCGTGTAAATGGCTATATAGCATGCATTCGGTGATCGAAAGACGAAGGACTCTTTCGGCGTTTCTTGCGGTGTTGATTAGGTTTAAACGATGGTTTGGTAATTTGAATGAAATTTTTCAAGGTTTAACTATGCTTCAGGCTTATCTTCGATGATTTCAAGTTTTTAGGTGAATGTGTAGATAATGTTTCATGCGGATTCTACGTTTGAGGTGACACTTACTCTTCTTTATGCTGATATGAATTTGTCAGTGTTAAGTGAAAAGTTCGTAACTGAAATAACATTTTTAAGTACGACTTTTGACAATTACCTTGTTTATAATTTTGTCAAAGTATCTATAATCTAAAGATATGCAAATTTCTTGGACCAATCCGTTGGAATTTGTAGATTTATAAATTAAATAACGCGCTTATGATTTTGTCAGGGTTTCTGCTATTTTATAATTGAAATGTCACTTTTAAGTGGAATAATAATATACGTGAATTTCTTGATAAATTTTATAAATTAAGCTACTGTCTTATAATTGAATATTCGTACTATTTTATTGCGTGTACGAAATGAAAATTTTCGCGATCTTAGGTAGAAATAAATAAACAAGAAGCTTGGTTTCTTTCTTACACGTAGCTACCGAAAAATCTGAACCGTTACTCGAACTCTGAAACAATCCTTCGTCTTCCGTGGGCAACCGCAAATTCTCAATACACAATATCGTTGTACTCACCGGAAGTTGGAGAACCACTTGACCAGCTGCGCTGTGTTGTTTTTATTGAACCTGATGTCGGGGAAGTACATCTTGAGAATGGACGAGGACGGGTACCTGACCCAGAAGAACATCACCTTCGCCTTCCTCAGATGTATCGGTGTCAGCATTGACGAGTTCACCGTGGTTAAGGAAATACTCTTATGCTTATGTACTCTTGAAAGTATTCAACGTAAACTTGTACTCGCAAACGTTGTTACGAATCTATTTATCATTTTCTTCGTAGAATTTTCATTCCTGTTCTTTTGTTCTCAACGAGGAAAGAACCGGCGAGCGACGAGCAGATTCTGTACGGCAGTCTGTTTCTGTGTACGCAAAATATCTCAAACTTAATCGTGTTTCCTTTGTATCAAATTGGATTAGAAATCGTACAAGCTGTGGATGTCGCGAGGGTAGTAGGGCTGGAACGTTCTCGTCGAGGTTGACCCACGATTGGCCGTATCCTCAACGGAAGCCTTACCGACTCCTTATCGGTAATAGGATCTCTTCATGTGGTTTCATCGCATTCTTATTCGATTAATCCGTGTGTTCAATCTCCTACGGTTCGACTGGTACCTTAAGGCACGCTTCTCCAAGAATTTCACGCCTTTCCAAACGAACACGAAAACTTGTCTCGCACTTTTGTTCATCGGCAACGAATGAAAAGTTGTTCGTAACGGAGTGAATTAAAAATTCGATTCGTACTTGTACCTTGAGGCAAGCTTCTCGAAGAATTTCACACCTTTCCGAACTAACTACGAAAACTCATCTTTATCTTTTGTTCGTCGAGAACGAATGAAAACTTGCAACGAAGTGAATTAAAAATTCGCGTCGATTGGGTAGGTTAAAGTATGCTTCCCGAAGAATTTCTTCACGCCCTTCGAAACAAAAACGAATATTCATCTCTCTCTCCTTTGTGTTCATCGGTAACGAATAAAAATCTCTAATGGAGATTCAGCTAAAAAATTCGATTAGATTGATAGCTCGCTTCTCGAAGAATTTCACACCTTTCCGACCTAACAACGACGAGTGAAAACTTGCAACGGAGTGAAATAAAAATTGGACGAAAGTTGATCAGAGTTAAATTAATGGGAAAATTGACGAAGGGTAAAATAGAAGCTGTTCGCGAACAAAGAATTGTCCTGTTAACGACGATACAACAGGTTTTCGCGTTATAATTCGACCAGGATGATTCTCGTCGATTTACCTTGCACAGAGAGAGAGAGAGAGAGAGAGAGAGCCGGGAAACAGAGACAGGGCGGCGAATAATCGCGGAAAATCTGTGCAACGTTTTTCCCGGACACTCGATCCGTTGAAAGCAATCTAATTCTGTGAGAGACAGGAAAAGCGCGGAACGTTTACAATTTTCACGAACGCCTATCGTCATTGGTGTTACTGTCAGCGCGCGAACTCTCAGCGCGCACAAGCGAAGTCGTCGTTCACGAGCGAACGAGTCGACAAGTGCAGTCGTTCGCATCAAACGTGTGCGCGTACCGCGCGTTGCATTTTGCGCTCGCGGTAACGTCGATGGGCGATAACGAGATGCCAGACTGTAATAAGGGTTATTCCGACGTGCAGCCACCCCTGGATTATCGAGCTGGTCCTTCCCCGTACCCTCTTAACGCGCGGCCCGCACCTACGTGTCTCGTGCTTATTATGCTATGTAATCGACACACCTCGAACATTAAAAAGGAGAGATAGAGTGAGAAAGGGAACGATACAGCGTTTAGGTAGCTTTGTAATTGTGATACACGATAATTAAGGCTCGATGATTTCTCGTCGGAAGAGGAATCACGATCCAAGATGGAAATTTCGTTCGGTGAGGAACGGTAGGTGATAACTTTCTTTGAACGATTGTTTAACAAAATGTTCCAAGTAGAAGATTTGTAATTGTGATACACGATGATTTCTTGTCGGAAGAAGAAGAATCACGTTAGAATATCAAAATTTCGTTCGATGTGAACGACAGTTGAGAACTTCATTTTAACGATCGTTTAACATAAAATAAAAGAAGCGTATTCTGTCTTCCATCCTTCTCTATACAAAAGAAAGCACCATAATCAAAATTTCAATAGATATTTTTTCTTCTTGCACCTAATCGTTCCTATACGAGTTTCCTCGATTATCCATCAAGACGAAGTACGTTAATTTAGAGGAAAAGCGGGAAAATCTGTTTTACCAAAAACACGTAGGTACCGAAACGTCTGTCTATCCTACGATCGTATTCACCAGCTGTGTAATGAGAGAGAGAGTTCACCAACGTGAATCAACGCGCAGCCCATGAAGATAGGGCCGAGAAGGAAAGTCGAGCAGCGTGAAAAGCATATTCGGATACGTCGAAGGCCGGCAGGAACAGTGACAGACAAGGGTGAATCCAGAGGAGAGTGGTGAACAGCAGGTTGCGCCGCGGCCATGCGCTCGACCTACCCCAAGAGGAGGGAGTGAAAAAATGCGCCATTGATTTTACATCAAAGGCCGGCTAAAAAGGCGGCAAAGAAAGCCGCGCTGCCGATCGAACGACCCGGACCAACACACGCCGATGCAGTTCCAGCGACGTTGCATCGTTGCCGACGCGTTTACTGCACACCCCCGCGCGCGGCAAACGTTCTTCTTTTTTTTTCCTGGTCATGAGAGGGCCCCGATATATTTGCGAGCGCTTTCGGTAAGTGTTGAGAGAGCCCTGAGTGTTGGCCGTCGCGAGAGAACCCGCCCCGGCCGGGTCATGTGTGATAATCGAGCTGCTGAACTTTTCGCGCCTGTTGATCACCGCTTTCAGACGATCGTGGAGAAGGATGTGTCTTAACTTCGTTCGTTTGCCTGCTATTTTTATGAAGTCAAAGCGTATTACGAGGTCACCGATGTTTCCCTTCTATGCAATCTCTGGCTGTATTTTGCGCGGTGGCCGCTTTTTCCCATCGAGAGGGAACGCGTGTTCGAGTGTTTCTCTCTCTCTCTCTTTCTCTCTCTCTTTTACGTTGCCTCGATGAAACGCGATCGAAATAGAGAGGGAAATTTTTGCACGAAGAAGGGTGAAATTGGGCGAAAGAAAGAGCGGAGAAGAAGCTAGCTAAGATACGAGGAGAACGTTACCGTTTAATAGACAATCTGATACGGACGGTCAGGCATAAGGAATCTAGTTGGCGGGAAGTTGACCCTGTAGAAACATAGTTCCTACGGTGAATTCTCTCATACGGTCTGAGAAGTAGTAGCAGTTGCTTATCTACGATAAGTCGAGGAGACGCTTGTGAGGGGAACTTCGCGGACCGCCTCCTCTCTCTCTCTCTCTCGTTTCCGCGGTTAAATTCCGAAATTGCGGGACAGATTATTGGCTTGCGAAGTTGGGTGAGACTCGAGGCCGAGAGGGTGGGCCGAGTAGGCAAAGAACTTTCGACCTCGCGCGTTGTTGCCGGACAAACTCTACTCGTAGGTGCAGCCAACATTAGCCTAACTCCGTGGCAAACTAATCTAACATTCGTCCGAGCTTCCTCCCTCCCTTTCCCGTTGCCGCCTACTCCTCCTACTCCTCTCTCTACTACCGACTTCCTTCTCCTTGTTGGCAGGACGGGCTTTTTCTCTCGTAGAACTCCCCGTTGTTTTCCAAAGTTTCCAAGCTCTCTCTCTCTCTCTCTCTCTCACTCACTCTCTCTTGCTTTCCCTTCTACCGAGGCAAAAAGGAAACGAAAAAATACATTCCTAAGCATCGTCATCAACTCTTTCGCCTTTCTGCCACTTTGTAACGCTCGTTTTTCGCTGGTCTCTTTATCCAGCTCTTTAAACCGCAGTTTCTGACT